TGCTTGCCAGGGAAGTGCTTATTCCACTGAGCCATCTCCCCGGACCCTTAAGTGCTAGTCTTTAACATTTGGGAATGGATGATATGAAAATAGTGTTCTAATTTGGTCAGATGTTCTAGGGTCTCAGATTTGCTTCTCAGGACCGCCACAGGGCTCTGTTCCTTGTATGTGTGGATGGAAAATTTAAAGAGAAAGATAGGGGAACCAAACCACTCACCTGAGTGGGTTATTCTGTGATGCTGGTACACATGGTGGGAGCTGAAAAGGTCAAAATGAAGGTGCAACACAGGGCCAGAGAGCTGTCCAAGGTGAAGCCCAAACACATCCAGATGCAAATCCACCAACAGAACCGGCTCAGTAATTACAGTCAGTAATGACAAGGTGCTGGGCTGCTGATTCCAATGTGTGGCTGCCTGGTAATGTGATATCTGAGTGGGACTCTGGGGTCAAGCCACCAGGAACTCTCATTTGTCTTTCGATTTTGGTGTTTATCAGAATCAATATATTTCAAACAGAACTTGATGTACGTGAACTGCTTTCCCAGCTCTCCCCTCCCCTTCTCTCTCTGTGTGTTTCTCTGCCATTCTCTCCCTCTCACTCTCTTTTTCCAAGTGCTCATCCCAGGTGGCATCTATGCTAACATGCTTGGAATCATGAAGCCACCCTGAGTGTGGAAATTAATAGAGTTGGTATGCAAAGCAGGTCCATAAACGTGATTGCTTCTGTAATCTTCATGACGCCAAGCAGCTTTTAATTCACTGCTGAGGAGCTGAGAACAATCACACTTTGGGGGATATTTTTAATTTAAACTGGGTCATACTGTAGACTCCAATATCATAGTTTTGTGTGTACCTGAGCGTGCATGCATGTGTGTGTGTGTGTGTGTGTGCATGTGTGTGTGTGTTTAATCCCATATATAATTAGGTGGGCTCTGGTTATTGCTCCTGTGTATGCTAGTAAATGCTAACTGAGACTAAGTCGATTATCAATTACATATTCAGGAGAAGTCACTGAAGAGGGAACTGTGGACATTTAATTTTTATGCTTGTGTGTGAGCTGTTGGCCAGGAAAATGTGTTTGCCTCTCAGTCAGTCAACTTGCGTGTCCACATATGTTATTAGAACAAGAACAACAAAGCAAAAGCACACATACACACACACACACACACACACACACACACACAGCAGACCTAGTTAGGTGCTTTTCAGCTGTTCTCAATCCAATGAATGTAATTCATTCTGAATATCAACTTTGGGAATAACAGTAAAAGTGCCTAACCAAGGAAGGAAGTTTCCACAGATCTGAGAATTCCTACTCAATATTATTTAGAAAAATCTGGAATTCTATAAGTAGAAGCAGTGCTTTGCTTTATTCTACCCACAAAAGGAGATTTTTAAAAAACGAATATATTTTCCTATGTAATCGACATTTTAAAGCAGTCACCTTGGCCCCAACTCTTCCAAACTTCTCTCTCATTTTTAGTTTCTTCATGCATTTCATTATAATTCAACCCCTGATTTTTCCATTTCTGAAAAAGTGTGATTAGCCAAGGCAGTCTTTAAGGTTGTGTATTCCCAGAATGAAACCCTTCAGTCCCAAGGCCAGCACTGGGATGAGGCATGAAGAGTCAGACAGGACCAGACAGACCAGGAAGCTTAACAGTGCTCTGACGTTTGAGTCTGCATGCCAGAGAAAGAGCAGATGGGCAGAGATGCTACACTAACATAAACACACGTTGATGTTTCAGGTAAAAATGGAAATTAAAAGAAACTAGCTTAGGAAGACGACCTTGAGCCCCGTGATGACCCTGGCACCTTACCTTTCTTCTTGATGGTTGCTATTCTTAAGCACTTTGCCTGCCAGTCCTTGTGCAGTTCTGGGTTGCAGAAGGTGGGAACACGGCATAATCAATCAATTGACGTCCACACTCTTTGCCACTCCGTAAAGTCACGTGAAAGCGCTGTCTCTGGGCCCGACAGATGTAGTATGTCTCTTCATCCCCCAGACTTGCGCTCAGCCAGTTCTGTGCCCAGCTTTTAGCAGGTTACAGAGAATGTTTATTCTGCCCATGGCTCCCTCCTCTCTTTGTTCTGGCAGTAATGTTTCCTTTTATGCTTTCTCATCTCCTTCCTCAATTCCCCATGACTTGTCTTCTTCTGCTTTAACTGTTACTAATGGTCACCTCCACTCCTTTTATTTCCCTAATATTTCATCCACTGCTCCCTCTGACACATCTTTCCCTCAGTTGTTCTAAAGCCTTTCATTTCCTTCACATCCAAATAACTCTTTATTCTACTCTCCTTTCCACTAACTAGACTTGCTTTCTTCTTTAAAAGACCATTTTTCAACAAGCTGCTAAGATCAAAACACAGCACCAGAACTTTTTCACTGTATTTTTCACAGTGTGACACAAAGCCCCCAGCTCAAGATAACTTGGAAAAAACTTTCTTGGCTTTATCTCAGTCTTGAAAACCAAGGAGGAAAGATGTTCTTTTCCCCCTTTTCACTGAGAAGTATGAGGAGAAAGAGGAAGGAGCTTAGAGGGCTCTTTTTGGAAAGAGATACTCATTCCAAGTCTTTAGACACAGGGCAGACTCAGTGGGGAGCTTGCGGGGGGAGCTCCCCTGGACACCTGTGGCCTCCGGAGCTCTTTCATCCCAGCGTGGAAGCTCTCTTATTCTCCAGTGGTAGGAAAATCATGGGTTCTAGTAGCTGCCATCTTGGTACCAATGTACTTGGTCAGCAGCCCTGATTACAGCCTCCATCCAGCTCGAACCCATATTAGAAATCCTCCAGGCTTAAAAAAATACTTTGCTTGGGGAACAGGCCAGGTACCTGACCAGGATGAGAATGTGTCGAGAGAGAATCCCTGATTATCATGTGTTCTGTAGAAACCCCCATCAGTCCTGTCCCCATCAGTTCAGACAGGCCTTCCTGAACTGGAGAGATCTGTAGTCACCGAGCTCCCCATGCAAAACCTCAGCCTCCAGTGTCCAACAGGGATGTTCCCTTGGTCTCGAAGTCACCTTAAGAACTGTACTTTTCTGCTCCCTTCTTCATCCTTCTCAGCTCACTCACTTTGGTCTCCATGCACACAAATACCCAGAAAGGCACATGCAGAGGGAGGAAGTGCCAAGCCGAGGTGCAAGCGTGACTCAAACTGTTTAACTAGGTTTTAAAATACAGAACACACTGGCCAGAAGGGGCCAAGCTGCGCTGGACCACCCACCCTGACGACCCAACACATCCTGTGTTGCTTCTCATCTGGGTGACATGAGTGCAGGTCAGCTGCTCACCTGGGTGACACTCTTCTCCCTGGGAGCTGTCAGACAAGGGGTCAGGAGGAGCGTGGGGAAGGTGTCCCTGGTGCGTGCCCAGCTCAGCCGTAAAGTGGCATGCATCATCCAGCCTGCCTCTTCTCTAGCAGCAGAGGCGGGAGTAAACGCACCTGCCTCTTTGCGGGTCCTAAAACCTGCATGCGGGCCCCAGGCAGAGACAGAAATCATCCACAGAGAAGGCACCCGTCTCCTGTCTGCCCGAGGCAGCATCACTCAGCTGAAGCGGAGGGCGGGTCATCCCCAGACAGGGCAAGTTGCCGAGCAGTGCTGCCCTCGCTGCTCTTTCGGGAACAGTCTCGTCTCGTCTTCCGAGTGCTCCAGGGAGGATGGGCCACTTGCTTCCCCTGAAAGACTGAGTCACTGTGGATAGGGTCACGCAGTGGTCTTGAGCCCACACTGACAAGAGAACAAATACCCACTAAGGTGGATAGCAGCTGTGTGGCCATGAGGAAGAAACGGGAATCATGCAGGTGAAAATCACCTCGCCTCAAAGAAGGGAATGGCAGGCCCTGCTTCTCGAGCTGAGCCAACAAGGGCGGGGCCTGGCCAAATAGCTCAGCGGATTAAAGCACCTGTCAGCAGGTGCAGGGC